TGTTTTTCATCCAATATTACATTGAACCAACTATTGTCTATTCACTACAAATTTGAAAAAGTTTTTTTACTGTTAGATTCTCCGAGCTCCAATCCGAACAATTAGCTAGCTCACTGGAGAACACCTTTTCGGATGAAATACTCGAGTGCCAGGAGTTACACGTACTTTTTGAACAGAAGAAGAAAATTGTAAATACCGAGTGGACGTCTATAGCCATTGTAGCATATATTATGACGAGCTGTCTGATTTTCTTTCTCAGAAGGTACTCAACTACTTCTGAAAATTGTTCTGGGCTGCCATACAATTCTATTAAACTCTATATAAAATCTCTAACAATAATGGTGACCTTTTCTTGGCTATGAGAATGTATAAATAAGAATTGGAGTAGTCAGAGATAAAAGCAATACCAGACAAGTCTCGCCAAAATTTAGCAGCCTTTTTTTGACTCCTAACAGGCCATGACTGTATGGGAAAACAATTGTATCGCTTACGTATATATGACCACCTGATTGTCGTCTATGAAACTCTAATAAAGAGCTTATAAACCGAAAGCATCTTCATATCTATGAAATTACAAAATATTGGCGTGCGAGAGAGTTTCTGAGACGATGATTTCAATCTTTCTTCGTGTGTTTAGATGTTTATTATTCTTTCCTTATTGTATTTGTTTGATTTCTCTGCTACTGGAAAATAAAAAAATTCTTTTTCATCCCACTGTATCGTTCCATCCCACCATAATTTCGTTCAGAATTAAAGAATTGCGATTAGAGTTTGGTAGTTTTTATTGATCAAATTAATGAACTCTGAGAAAAAAATCAAAAGAGTTCAAGTTTCTTTGGTCTGTAAACGAAAATGTTTATTCTTTCAAGCATTTCGTAGCTTATTCCAATTACAGCAACAAGTTTAGAAGTAAATTAATAATTCAATTTTTTGTATTATTGAGCTTTTATTTCTGATCTATTTGTGAGACTCAATAATTGACTCTAAAGCGTTAAAAGTTAAGCAATACTAGTAAACACATTGAACTAAAGTTGCGTAATATGAACATGGTTGAGCCACCGTTTCCCCCTCGAAGTCAACGATGATTTTCTGCTGGTATGAGTACAAGCGAATAAGAAAGAAGTGTTGAATTGAAATAGGATCAATTAAAATTAGTTTTGTATCTTGTACAAATTATCTAAACAAATGTTTATAATTATGCCGATATGCCTGTGTAGGGGTCAGGGAACTGGACCAGCATCAGAAAGGTTCTCGGTTCGAATCCCGGGCAAAGCATGGATGTTCTTTCATTCTCTGTACGATCTGTCCTTACTGTGTGAGCAGCTTTGGCCCACCTAATATGGTGTCCCTGAAAGAGTGGCCAACAAATCTGTTCTTCAGATGACTGTATAACTTAGATCATTCTCCAGGTGGTCATTGGAAAAAAATATTTTCTAATTATTTTAACAGGAGTCGCGATGGATCAGGGGATAGAGCTTTCACCTTCCAACGATGTAAACCCGGTTCGAATCCCATCATTGACTGGAAATTACGAATTCTACATCCGGTTTGCACCGACCACGTTGCTAGAGTAAAATATCCTCAGTGGTAGACGGATCATGGGTTACAGTCTCCTTGCCATCATGCAAACCGTGGAAGATTTCGTGGTTTTCCTCTCGATAAAATGCAAATGTGGGTCAGTTCCATCAAAAAGTCCTCCATGGAGGCAAATACACTCTATAACAAAAAAATCGACGCACCAAGAACGCACTAAGACGCGCAAAATCGACGCTCGATCAGGCTGGAATGATGCCGACTGGGGACGTATAGTCTTTAGCGACGAATCCCGCTTCCAACTGTGTCCTGACGATCATCGAAGACGTGTGTGGAGAATCACAGGGCAGAGGGAGGATCCTGCCTTCACTATTGCACGCCACATCGGCCCTCAACAAGGCATTATGGTCTGGGGTGCCATTTCCTTTGACAGCCGGACCCCTTTGGTCGTCATTAGAGGTACACTTACTGCACAGCGGTACGTCGACGAAATCCTAAGACATGTTTTGCTACCGTTCCTTTTGCAGCTCCCTGGGCAGGCTTTTCAGCAAGACAATGCCAGACCACATACGGCACGTGTCGCTATGAACTGTCTGCAAGCTTGTCAAACTCTTCCTTGGCCTGCCAGATCACCAGATCTCTCTCCCATCGAGCATGTCTGGGATATGATGGGAAGGCGATTGCGTATGGCACGGAAGGTTGATGAACTCGTTCGACAATTGGATCGAATTTGGCAGGAAATACCGCAGAGACCATCCGGGAGCTTTATCGGTCTATGCCACACCGTGTGGCAGCTTGTATCCAGGCTAGAGGCGGGTCAACATCTTATTGAACTTGTTACTGTAACTCTGCAATAAATTATTCAATTGTTCTGAAATTTTAATCATTTACTATTCTGTACATAGTCTTCCTATCCACCAATTTTCGCTTCAATCGGACAACTCCTTCTTGGTGCGTCGATTTTTTTGTTATAGAGTGTATTTCCCAATACTTGATTCACGAGTTCCTTTTCTTCTGGATTGAGTTCAAAATTACAAGGTTACGGAGTTGAACTAAGTAGTCGTAAATTTAAAAAATTGGTCCGCTATTCAACGACTGTTGTAAAATAAAATAAAATTATTTGAACACAGAATTTTAAAACTGCTTACGTTAAATAAATTTCAGATAAAGAAAATAATATAAAGTTCATATAATGCAAAATTAAAAAAATATTCTTTATATGAAATTTCACTCGAATGAATACATGATTCAATTTCTAATTATTAATCTCAATAGAAAGTAGAATAATTTTTTAAAGGAAAAAGCATAAGAAATATTAAAAATTAGTTTTCAAGAAATTTTTTTACGTGCATTCATTTAACGAGTTACTACTCTAATTTACATAAATTTTTAACCTAATATCTACTTAATCTAGTAAACGATGTATATTTACTAGATAATATAAATATGAAAGTCATTTAGTCACTGTGGAGTATTTCCCTCTCGTTGAATTTACCAGAGAACTGAAGTAATCAGTACTACTTAATAAACTTGAATACAAAATTACTTTTAGCCCCATGTCTAATTTTGTCAGACTTTAATTAAGTGCTTTTATGCTATTTTCACTTATAAACACTGAGGGCGTTCAGTGACTTCAAGGGAAAAATTTGCGGAAAAGGGACAAAACAAATTACACATACATTGGCAGGTTCGTGTGTTCTTCACAAAATATGGCTTGCAATTTTGTCTTTTGGCTTAAAACTTTTTTTGTGATACATTTTTGAAATTTGTGTTTTTCAAGGTAATCGGAAAACTAAGTTCATTGAATGTGCTTCCGCAGAAAGGTTCAAGTTCAGGTCGAAGTCTGTTTAAAATCATCATGTAGGCTTAATCAAATAGTATGTAGTAATTCATGCTATTTCTCTTCATGAGTTTTCAGCCCTGCAATGGACTGATCTCAAAGATACGTTTCCCAGACACCAAAGTCAAGCATCACTGGCTGCGGTCAATGAGCTGGTTGGAAACCATTTGGATCAACTTGCGTAGGGACTAAGGAGGCCGGGTATCGGTCCTAGTAAAACTGTTCTACTATTACGTTTTCGACTTCTCACGTACGTCGTCGAGCCACCAGAGTGGGCGAGCCATCCAGTCTGCTGAGGATCAAAATTGTATTGCCTCACGCCTTCGGATCATCCTCAGGGATGATTCACCAAAAGTCGCCATAGCCCATTCTGCAGCTTTAGTGTGACGTACATACAGTACTACTATTATTACTACTCAAGAGTTTACAAGTATATTTTTGTACATAGATCAAATAAACTGTGATGGCATGTCTTCGGATCATCCTCAGGAATGTTTCCCAGACCATCGCCCAATAGCTCATTGTACAGCTCTAGTGAGACACAAATAAAGTACACGCCTAGATCAAAGTTTGCAGATTTATATTCTGCAGTATGAATAACAAATCGATGAAGTTTATTTTGTCAGAAAACTTTTATTTTAGCTCTTTGAAACGCTCGAAAAAGAAAAGGTAGCGAGTTCGATTTTCTCGACATCTTTAACTGTAATCTGAAGAATCTCTTTCCGATATCCTTTTGCCATTTATGTAATCTTTGTTCATTTTTTTTAAAGTTTGAATTGGTCACACAAGTGAACAAATGTAAGTATAAAGGGGATCTGCTGTGACAGAGGGGTATTATCATTCCTCCAAACGCTCTGAAGCTGGGATGCAGTGAGCTCGATTTCTGTCCGCAACCATGAATATATTCTTGTGCCGTCGTTCTATAACTTTAAATATCTATTCTTCAACTGAAGAAACTCTTATAAACCCTTCTAGGCTTAAATCTTAATTACAAATAAAAAAAAATTATATGAATAAAGATCAAATTTTTTCGTAACAGAAAACATTAAATCTGCAAAACTATTCGTAAATCAATGTTGTTCCATTACAAATTATTCGATTCAGAAACTATTAATTATAAACATAACATCTCCAAAAATAGCTGATTTCGATAGTGTATTAAACAAATGTTTAGTAAAATCGAAAGCTTTTGAATTTTTTATTTAAATGCTCTAAATCACTTAACAAACCTTTTTTTTTTAATAAAAACTATTGTTTCTGCCCCAAACTGAACAGGAAACATCATATGATAATCGCTCCATTTAAAATTAAATTATTAGATAAAAATAAGCTTTAAATATTGGGAAAAATAGGTCATAAAATTTGAATATAAATTTCAAAACTAAAAAAAAAATCAAAAATACGTTAAAAATGCATTTGTTTAAAAAAATATTGGAAAAAAACTATTTTAGCAAAATCTAGTCAACAAATACAACTTTTTAGAAAACAAAGACAACCTGATCTAATTCACGTAAATCGTTTTCAGAAAACAACAACAGAATTTTCCGAAAAATCTGTAATTTTGATAAGAAAACTGTATTTATCACTTCGTAAGCGATAATTCGCCAACTAGAGAGCACTCTTTCAGAACCAGTCGAAAAAGTTGGACGTGATAAAGAAAATCATCATTTAGTTCCGTATCGCCACGGCAAAGTTCAATGCGAAAAATCATTTCTCTAATCTGTGATCGTTCGTTAACTATTACTATAAAGGGATAAGTGAGAAAAAATAACTTTCCTTTTAATAACAGAATGGGAGAGAGAAAGCATGCTGTCAATCATGATACCAAAGAATACGGAACTTTTAACAACAAAGTAGGAAACTATGAAGAAAAAAGTGAAAAAGCGAAAATATTTGACTCGGAGCTTTACACCACGGGGTAAGTCTTCACAATAATTCTAGTGAATATTTAATTAAAAAAATTTTAATTGTGAATAAATAACTAATTTAATTCTTATATATAATAAAGGCCATTCGTACAGTTTCTCAGTCAATACTTAAAATCGTTTTCTGCTTGCCTAATTTTTATTGTAAAATTCGTTTTTGCGCAAAATTTCTGATACAAAATCTGATTTTACAAAATCTGATTTCTGATTTTATTAAATTATGAAAATTAAAAAAAAAATATCGACATATTTAAATCAAAATCTGAAAGCTCTACAAAAATATTAATTTTAATTGATTTTCCATAATAAAGCAACAACAAAAAATTCTTTTTATTGAAATTGATGCATGGAAAATATGTATAGCAGGTAAAATAATAAATAGATCTGAAGTAAGAAACTCCAAATTGATTTTTAATCATTATTTAATTGAAAATTTAAAAAACAAATAAGCTTTTTATAAAGTAAAAATAATAACATTTTTTCCAAAAATTACTGAATTTTTTATGATATTATAAAAAAAAAGTATGTATTAAATTATATCATAGTAAATACTAAATAACTTGACCCTTTTATGGTAATATCACAAAATGCTTCTTATACAAAATTTGTGATAAAACCGTAGATTATTGTTAATAAAATATAAATTACGATAAGAAACTGGAATTAAAATTCATTTCTTGTGATAAATATGCTAATAATAAATATAAATATTTATTTTAGATTAAGGAAATATTTTTTCAAAAATAACTTTCTTAAGATTTCTGAAAAGAAGGAATTACTTTACATGTAAATAGGACAAGGAAATATAAAAACTGTAAATTTTTTTTATATCAAACTGATTTTATTTATTTTAGTTTAAGAAATATTCTATGAACCAGTAAAATGCATAGTAAAATAAAAATAAAAAATTCTTCAGTATGCTTTGAGAAAAATTGTTTTTTTTAAAAAATACTAGAATAAAATTTAAAATTTTGTGGTTGAAATCTATACAAAATTCTTTAAAAAAACTGAAAGAATGTATTTTGTTCATGTAACATAAAATTTTTTGAGCATATATGATATTAATATTTATATGTCCACGTACTTATTCCATAAATAAAATCTGTAATTAAAATCAATAATTAAAAACTATTAAATACTAACTACATTTTAGTACGAAGTAATTTGCAGCTATTTTTTTTAAAAACTCAATCTGAAATGTTCCAATAAATTTCGTTGATTTTTGATATGATGTGTTATTGTTAAGACTAAAACAACTGTTTAACCCTTTGCTTACTGCTTTTACAATAAGTGGACCAGCATGACTTCATCATGCCAAGCGCAGTAAGCAAAAGGTTAAAACTTATATATAATATAAATGTATCGAAATAAAATGTTCTAGAGAACTTCCAATTGAAACAACTTACACTATTTATTTAAGCGTTAAACTTAAATAGCCCAATTTTAAAGTTGTAACTTAATTCTCAATTTTACCCAAACGTAATTGATGGAAAGAATACATCGGAAAGAAACATAAAATGTATCATTTATGTGTATTTTGGACTCTATTTTTAAAGCATCAGCATTTGTTTTTTATTTCCATATTTGTTTGTTTTTCGCAACGCTTAATTACAATGTACACTTTTAAAAGGACTTGCGACAATAAAATTATAAGCCGCATTTTAAATTGCTCAAGAAAGCATTTTTGGTGGGAAACACCATGATTTGTGTGCAAACAAAAATATGTTTCGATATATATAAGTGAAATGTATCATTTATGTGTATTTTCGATTCTATTTTTAAAGCATGCATCAGCATCTCTTTTTCATTCCCATGGTTTTTTTTTTGCATCGTTTAATTACAGTATGCACTTTTAAAAGGACTTGTGACAAACAGTAAAATAAAATATTAGCACCAAGAAATATTGTTGAAAAACATTGGTTGATAATACGAATAAACTTTTAACAATTTCAATATAAAATTTGTTGTGGAATGTTATGAAGTCATTACAAATAAATTAAGAATTCTGGTATATTGAAATTAAATATTTAATTTCCAAAATATTATAAATTATTTGAGTACCTTAACTTCAAAAGTAATTATTAAGTAATTTTAACCAATGATATATATATATATATAAAAGTAAGGTATCTACTATGATTTTAGAAATAAAATGTAAGTGCTATGCGTTGTGACAATGCATCTGATAACAATTTATGTCTTAGTAACGGAAAATGCTCAGTTATCTCTTATAACAAATAATTCAGCTGAAAATTAAAATAATCTTGTATACACAACAGTTTAGCTCGTCATTTTAGTTTGTTTTACAAAACACCCTGATCATAGCGGCTCTGAAGGTCCACTTTTTTGAAAGGGATGAAAATAAAATACACAACCTCAACATCTTTTTAAATTTAACACGTAAGAAAAGAAATTCTTACGTATGTCTGCAAAATATTTACAAAAGGATTGATCGTTTTTCATTTATTTCTCGTTTTTAGCTTTTACGATTTGATATCGATGATGATTCATAAATATTTGTCTGAAATATTGAGGGTGAATTTTAGATAATTCTAATTATTGAGGGGAATATATGCCCACTGTTCCCCTTCGTGATATACAAAAAGGTTAGCTAAAAAACAAATTAAATTATTAATAAATAATAATAATCTTGGAATTAGGCAGTGCAAGAAATATGTGCGAGTGGCAATTTTGATTTCATTTTTAAACAAAACCGTAGAACGTTTTTAAACAAAAACAAGATAATTGAAGTACATTTTAAGTAATTTTGGAATATAGCTCAGCTATATAGCCGTATAAAAATTATCGATTGAAAAATTATACATTTTATCTACTAAAATAAAACGTTTTAAAAAATTAAATAGCCCAGGCTAAAATCAACTGATCAAAAAAAAATAGACCCCTGTTGTAGAGAAATTATGGTTTGTAATCCTTTTATGGTCTGGTTAACCATGCAAGATTTCGTGATTTTTCTTCCCGTGTGCGCATCAATTTCACTCGAAAAAACTCTTAATAGGTGTTTCAAACAGCCCTAGAAGTTTCTATGTAATGTGCTATAGGACTACAGGATGTAGAACATTAAAAGCAACACATCCGCTATATGGATCATCTGATTTTTCATTAGGATTATGTATAATATGAAAACTATAAAGTGAGCAGTATTCATAGATTTGTATTACTTAACTTTTTTTCCTGTTTGATAATGTTGATAGTGCATTACATCTTTTGAAAGACAGTACGCTTTCAAGTTTGTGAATAGTTGCTCTTTTTTCATTCACTTGTAGATAAAAGGAATTTTAAACAAAATAGCTTCTAATTTAAATGACAAAAAAAATTATTTAGCTTTAAAGTAAGATGTACAAATACATAATTATAAAAAAAAACTTAATTTTAACTGAAATAACAATAGTTTTTATCAGTGTTTTTTTCTTCAATTTTTCATTTATTATTATAGCATTTTCCGGTTTGAACGTTTGGAATTCAACAATAGTCGTATCTTTCCGTTTTTAACACCTGCATGTCAATACCATTCAAGTCTGATTCTCCAGCTTTTATGACTCGTTATATTATGCAATCAGTACAAAGAACAATAAAGTATAAAAATGTCTCCGTGAAACAGCTTTTTCAAAACATTGCTCCCTCATTTCAAAACAATTATTCAACGTAACCTCTGAAAAACTTATCTTCACACTTATGGAAATTTTATTATATTTAAGATGTATAATTTTTTATTGTTTATTATTTACCTGATTTATTATTTAACTGAAGACTAGATAAGGGAACTCATGGATTAAGTATTGGAGTAAATTAGCCTTCGTGGAGGGCTTTTTTATTGGATTTAACGACCACTGGCGTTACATGAAGAGGACAAGCGNTGTCATTATTGATTATCTTAAAATAAGTTATTTCTAAAAATATTTTTTTCTTCTGTCAGAAAGCTTTTTCTTCGAAATGGTTTAATATAAAATGTATCTAATTTGTTATTATTGCATCAAAAGATGATGGAATAATATTAAAGAAAGCATGGAGATGGCATAATGAAATAATAGAAAGAATTTTAAATAACCCTTAAATGCGATTTTGTCAAGTAATTATATCTATTGTCAAGGTTAAATGCTTGTGTTTCATAGCTCCACACACGAGTTGTGAACATAATTTTTTCCAGGGCTTCGTACGTGCTCTTAATAAGATTATATTTTCATTTGAAGACATTTATTACTTTTCTTAACAACCCTCGATCATAACTATAATTACATCAGTATGCTGTTAAAGTAGCACTATATATACGTATAATGAAGTCAGTAGTCACGACCCTATAATTTATATATTTTTAAAACAAATTTAAAAATGACTTATATACATATTGAACAAGAATTTAAACAAGTATGAGCACATTATATGTGGCAAACTATCAATGAAAAAAAGTAAAATTATTATCGTTTTTTTTTAATTATTTATAACCAGCGTTGAACGGTCGACCTAATTCTGGGTTCACGATTATCAGTGTTGAACACCATATCCTTCTAATTTTAAACCCAACCTGAAGACTAAACAAGAGAACTCATGGATTAAGTATTGGGGCAAATTAACCTTCGTGGAGGGCTTTTTTGATGGGTTTAACCACCATTGGCGTTACATGAAGAGGAAAACCACGAAACCTTCCAACGGTTAGCCAGTCGACATGGGGATTCTAATCCATGATCCATCTACCGTTGAGGATACATTATCGAAATTCAACTTATTAAAAATGAGGAAAACGAAACATGAAACACCAAAACCAGCTTGATTGCGGGAATAACCTTGAGGTATTTCTAAGAAACGCCTTTTAGTTCCTCGATGTGTTTTTTCCCATAACCCCATCGGTCAAATATTTCTAATACTGAATTTCTTAGATTCGTCAGATTTCAATAGTGTGTTTTTTCCTCTCTTAAATATGTATTTTGAACCCTTAAATACCTACAGTTTTTTTTTTTCATTTTATATTTGACAAGGA